AGTAAATATGCACACCTGAAAGAATGTGGTAAAATTTATGCTGTTCCATTTTACTCTGTTGGGTGTGGTAAGACTGAACAGAGTGAAAATATTAAAATAGATCTTGTTTCAAGATGCAGATTCTATGTTTGCTTTAGTCTTAGTATCCTGCCCACCAGAAATGGAAATGCTAGAAATAAAGCAACTAAGAGATGATGATCTGAGGGACAGGATCTTTGTTTCTTTTCTTCCCTAGCTTTGTATAGGTAATGGTTCAACAAAAACAATCTAGGCTAATACATATGGGATTTAAAAATTCCAAAATACTAGAAATGTTCAAAGAATTCTTAAAAAATACAGGCTATTGAGGGGCATTATATAAATAAGACAATAATGCTTCATTTGTAAAACAATGAAACTTTTTTGTAGTGTTTTCAGAAAGTGATGTGAATTGTCACAGGATAGAAGAAGTCTGGCCATAGCAATGACACAAAAACTTTCCCGTCTTTAGACACCTGACAGTAGAGCTGGGATTTTATAGATTGTGCTTATAAGCACTTCCATTTCTCCTTAGTTCCACTTTTGGGGCTAGAAATTTCTCTGAAGCTCTGGCTAAGTGACTCAGTTGTGATCCATTGTCCTTAGCCAGCCAAGGTCTGCTGAAGTCTCCAGAGGGAATGCCAACAAATAAGGGAGAAGGAGCACTTTTCTGTCCTATGGAGAAATTATATTTGGCATAGGCTCTTCTTGGGTGCTTCAAGCAGAATTGCCCTGTGAAATGGATCAGAGGAATCCCAAAGGGAATACTGTCAAAAAAATCAAAGAAATATGAATGTCCTGCATCATCAGGTTAATCTTCCTTGTAAAATAAAGAGCTACTTCAGAGTTGAATTTGATCCAAGAAACTCTTGACAGTTTCTTTGATGTTTTTTCAAGTGAGGGGGGATATTTTTTTACCCTATAGTTTCAGCATTGAAAGGACATCTGTCATTGATACATATGTGGCATTTGGCTTCTCTATGATCCCAAGAATTTGTAAAGCATTTTTGAAACGTGTTGGTGAACTTCCTTCTTTAGTTGGATGACACTTTCATCAAGCCATCATCCAAGAGTAAAGTCATTTAGAATATAACCAGGGTGAGTTGTGAACTCAGCACACATTGATTTGCAATAAATCTAGACAAAAGCAATCTCATCTTCAGTAGAGTACTGACTCCTCCAGGGATTCAGATAAACACCAAAAGAGACAGAGCTGCTCTTTCAGAAATTAGATTTAGAAAAATGAAAGCTGTATTTCTCTACAGATTTCCAGAGGTGCATCATGCCTTGGATTATTCAGAGTTAATGATATCTTTCCCCACAGATATATTGCACCTGCTCAAACAGTGCTAACTTCAACGTGGAACCATTCCTGGATGCAGAGGAGTAGCTGGGATCTAGTTAATAATATTCTAGTTGGCCAGAACCCCGTATGACCCTGCATACAAGGAGGGTCCGCTGGCAGACAGCATCATTCTGGAATTCAGAGCACATTCAGAAAAGGAGTAAGTTTAGGAATTTGGACATTAGGCAGAAGAAGGCACAGCCTCGGCATCTTGGAATATGAGAGTGTTAAATCACTGAGGGAAGTCCCTACTAATGAGAAGTCTTTTAGGAAATAATTCCTGGACTAGTTTCAACTAGTATTTTTGCAGAAAAACATGAGGAGGAGTATTTGGTTCCCAAAGGGTTGGATTCCAACCCCAGCACATATGCTTTTCCATAATTTTTTCACCAGTTCCATGGTTTCTCTAGCAGTGTAGAGCTGAAAACTGTCATGTGGATAACTGGATGTCCAAGTAGATTTAGCCATAGATTTTTTCATTAGATAGACACAAGCCAAGGTATTTGCTTGGAGGCCTTTTCCTTTTTCACAGACAAGTTTCAATCAGTCTTACTGCTTTGCTTTTGAAAGTCAAATTTTGAGAGAACTCAGATATTCAGAGAAAGCTATTTTTGGTGCCTAGTCTTCTAAGAAAGAATCATGAAATCAGTATTTTAAAAGGGGATGAGAAAAGATTTGCAGCCTATATAAATCCTATTACCATGCAGATATATAGTGAAATTTCTCTTACGTCATGGATTGAAAGATCTTTTGAAAATACAGAAGTGATACCTTATCCTTTCTTGGAAGAAGTTAGAAAATTTATTCAGCCACTTTTTATAGAACCAGATTGTGCTATAATAAGTAACAGAATCACCATCAGGTAGGAACAGCACTTGCAAATCTTAAATGTCATGGATTATATAATAAATGGTGAGTTGTGTAGAAATCTGCTGTCAAGATAGTGTTATACAGAATATAGCTATTGCTTGGAAAAGTGTTAATAGCAAAAGGGAAAAAATAACAGGAAATATGTAATGATCCTTTTAATGATCTGCAAGTCATAATATATTTCATGTTGCAAAATAAACTTTCTTTTACATGCATGCAAGCAGCAAATAAAAAAATGAGCAGAGAAAAATAGATGGAAAAAGTGATTTGGTTTTCTCTATGAACTTTCTTTAATCTGGGAGAAGCTTGGCATATGAAAATGGCAGTTCCAACTACAAAAATATCTGAAATATTTCATCCAAGTATATTTTAACCACAAGAATATTTTCCACATCTTGGACTGATACTACTGCATTGGTACTAAACTTTTCTGAAGTCCATTCTTTGAGGAGGAAGGAACACATATGATTAAATTCAGATGTTGTTATGTTTTCCCTGATGGCTACTCTGTGGTTTGTAAAGCTGCAAATGTTTCTCTCCTCATAAAAGAAGCAATTCCTTAACTTTAATGATACCTGTAGTTAAGCGTGGTTCCAAAACACATAGCGCTAATGAGGTAGAAACTAATTAAATCATGTGACTTTCACCATAATAACTTGTGTAAAATAAATCTGTAACATGGTTGTGGATCTAACACTTCATGTGGTTTTCATGCACTTATTTAATGTGCTTGATTCTGTTACCAGTTAGTAATTTCCTTTTGCCCATTAGGTATCTGAAAAATTCGTATTGTGTGGTCCTTTCTGGCTTTTTCATCACTATACTGGATCAGTGCCGAACTGGCTTTACTGGACTGCAGACAAAAAGTTCAGATCTTGGGGCCTTCCTTGCCTTCTCAGCGGGAGCTTTGCTGTTACCAGAGGAATTAGCATCACTGTGAATGTGAGAAGACTCAGGCCCTGATCTTTAGTGGGTGTCAAAATTCCCTGGTCTTGGGTGCAGATAGTGGCAACAACTATCTCTTGTGTAAAGTTGCTGGCAGAGGGGAAATTTCACCAGTGCTTTGTTTTTACTTGGTATTTCTCCCAGCAATGGCTAGTAACCTCATGAAGTCTTTAATTTCAAAATTAGGCTTTGACACAAGGTGGACGTTAGAGGTCTTAATTTGTACTTTCATTGTGTTGGCAAATGAGATAACTTTAGAATGATTAAGTAACGTGAAAAAAAGCAAAAACTTTAATGATTCACTCATCTGTTTGGGTAAAGCTCAGTAGAGTGATTTTTTTTTTTTTTTTTTTTCCCCACCTCAATGTCTCTGATTTGCAGACCTCCATAAAAATTTTAACAGCAGTGCAGCTGTGCCATCACTGCGTCCAGCACTCTGTATAGCGCATATAAGGCTATTGACTAGAGGTACCTCCTGAGAATCACATAGAAGTAATTGATGGAGCCCCAGAAATCTCAGCTGAAAAACACGGACCCTGGTGATTTATAGAAGGGTTTATGGTAAAATTTGTTATCTAGACTAAATCAGATAGTGACACTTTGGGAATTACAAATTTTGTAAATCCACATGATAGTTGCTTAGGATGTGTTTTCTAGCAGATGGTTCAGACCTGGGCTAAATTCTGCATTTAAAAAAAAACCAAAAAAAACCAAAAAAACCAGTACTGATATGTCTCCGTGCTTGTAGCTTCTTAGTACAACACAAAACTCCTTAGACTTTTTCATTTAACCATCGCTGAATGCCTGGTTCAGAACAGCGTGGGTTAAAGGCATGTGCTGACTGAAAGAATAATGGGAGACAACTGAATGGTACTATTCTAGGAGTAGAGGGGCTAGAGAAGATTTCTGTTAACCCAAATTAGGTCTGTATAAGTGTTCCTAAGAGAGGAGTCCCTGTAGGCTGTGAGCTGGGCTAAAACTCCTCTTTGCCTTGTTTCTGTTACTGAGGTTAGAAAACACGGTGAGTTTTTTTGAAAAGCTATGTCACAGTGCTGTGCTGCACTCTAATTGTGGCACCTCAGGTGAAGCATAGGTGGTCTCAAAGCTTGGACAGGCCTGCTGACACCTCACACCCAGTAATGGGAAACCCAGCACTGCCCGCAGAAACATGAAACAAGAGACCAGTGCTTTTCATCTGAGGGCCTTGGTTTGAGATACTGTAATAAGAACAGAGATTTACAGTAATAGTGATACAAATGTCAGGCCATATTTACTCTGTTTACTGTAAAGCATTTATAATAGTAAATTTATTGTACCTAAAATAGCTCAACAAAACCTTTCCTCATCTGAACGTTGTAAGGGTTTTCTAAACTTCAGATAAACAGTGTATGTCATGATTGCTTGTCATAATCGATATTCATTGTTCAGCACACAAAAAGGTATGTTCCATATGGTAAAGCTTGATTAGCAAGAAGCATCCAGGTATACTCCCATTGTGAAGTTTTTTGGTTATTCTTCATGCAGTTTGGTCCATACCAAAACAGAGGTTACATTGTGCATAGAATAAGGAAATGTTATTGTATGCTGTATTTATTTACAGTTTTAAATGAGTTTTAGCACCGGTAGAAAGAGATTTTTTCAAAGATTAAATATGTGTATCTTGTTTCAGGGCATCAGTAAGGAATATCAGATACCTGTGAATGATTTTAAGAAAGGAAAAAATAAACTGTAAAGAATTTAGTCAAGGAAAAAGAGGAACTACCTGTGAAAAACAGGTGAGAATTTGGAAAATGCACTTGTACTGTGTTTGTACTTCATAAAGTTTACCAGCTGAGTTATATTTCTGTAGTAGAAGAAATGGATCCTGAAAATGCTCAGTGCTTGCACAGTACCCTTAGACATAAGACAACTTTTGAAGATTCATTTCTTGGAATACAGTCATCCTACAAACTTGAAGAGCCATCTCTTTCTGAGATACGTATGTTCCTGAACAATGAACACGGGTAAAGCTTTGTTTGTGCTTGTGTGCACCAGTGTCTTACCATGTTAATTTGTTCTTTCTAGACAAAGAACTTTTCTAATGAGGGATGTAGTATTCTACTGTAGTTTTTTGATAAACATCAAGCCTGTGCTGGAAGGGTTCCGATTCTTTTTATACAAGCAGAACCCTCTTGAGTTCGTACACTCTTTACAGATGTAGTACAACTACAGAAATTCAGGTAGAGAAAATCATATGTGATTATTTCCTTCTGTTTCTTCTTTTTGTTTGTTTGTTTTCCCTTCTCCTTCAAAACAAAATCCCACACATATCCCATTAACTAAGAACTCTACAAAGGCTAAGGAAGGAAACAAGTTTCTAAGGGTAGTGTTATCCCTAAGCAGTAATTATATAGGTTATAAAAGTAGTAGTTATATTATATAAAATATAATATTTGCTATAATATTATATTTTAGCTATATTATTACCTAATAATATACTTGTAGCTAGATATTATAGCTATATCACATAAAATTACAAGCTATATTACATACGCTGAAGGAAATGTATGTTGCTATGTGACGTGTAGACTAGGAAGAAATTCCAGGTGAAGCCCACAGTACCAAATATTTATTTTGCATTTACTGGCTTGGGTTGCTTGTTTCTCAGCAAGAAGTTTCTTATTTTTCTAGCAACAGCAGTTCCAATTACAATGATCCGCCATTACGAAGTACGTTGATAGGAAACTGAGCCACACTCAGCCCACGGTTACCCACTGGCAGATTATCCAACTTCACAGTAGATTGTACCACCAATGTGGAGACCTGATCTGGCTGCCAGTGAGCTAGCTGGGGTCTGGAAGCCACATGGCTGTGTTTGGATGAGTTTGTGCATTGGAGCCCTCAGGCTGAATTGGCGTTGCCTCCTGAGCCTTCTCCACAATCTGTCTTTTCTTCATTATACCCATATTGCACATTCCCATTTCAATTTTGTAGTGGCCTAATTTATACAAATGCTTTGTATCACCTAGAAAGTATTTGTTCTGTCTCTGTTATCTTACTATTACTCTGACAATAGATGATTGATCGTATCTTCAATGTAGTTGCTCGCAGCCACGCAAACTTGACTGACACTATAGCTTATGATATACCTGTAAGGCTGTACTTCTGGCCTTAGACTGATTTTTGAGGCGTGGCTTCAAGTTGGCCAAATGCCAATCAGACAACATCTAGATACTGTTCACCTTTGTTGACCTAGTATAACATTTAACATAAGTGTCTTAGAAGATACTATTCAGTTTTGTGTATGAGCCTAATACAACCTGAGTAAAATGCACACTTAAGAGAGTGCACACAGATAATGTTAAAGTAACTAGGAACTGGTCTAGGCTAAATAAGCCATTCTTAAGCAAATTTGAACAAGGGCTAGAGTGTTTTATCCAAACTGGTTAAGATTTGCATCTTGCCAGTCCTCAATTTATTCTGAGGATTTATTGTCTCAGTAGTCACAAGTATAACTGATCCGGTTGCTGGTGGGCATGCTTGTTGCCTTCTCAGCCAGCAATAGTAAGAAGAAAATCTAACCCGGGGTAGTTTCCACAACCTTCGTCTAAGCTGGTTTGATGGAATGTTATGTCTATGAACACTTGAATATGGCCCGTCTAACCTGAATTATAATTCTTTTAAACCTATTATAAAGTAGTGGAACAAAATCTAGGGGTTTACGTGGTTTCATGTGAGCTGTGAAATCCTACTCATCAGTTTGAATTTAGTCCTGCGAAGAAGGAACAAGTCTCTAGGCATGTTTAAAGCTTTAAAAGCTTGTTGTCCTGAGGAAGAGCCTTATTCACGCATTTTCCATTCTCAAAATGGGCTTCTTTGGTTAAAAAAGGGCTTTGGCAAATCTGTCTCCTCCAGAGCAGTAGGCTCTAAATGATAGCAGGAAGTATGATGCGTCAGGATTTATAGCTTCTGCTCTAGAGGTCTGAGCAGAAGCTTTTGGATTGAAGACTTGGTGATGTGCCATAGAACCAGACATGTACTATTTAACTGCCTGTTCAGTACCTCTTCCATCATGTAGTCAGATTTACGTCCATTCTGGAGATACTTAGATATGAAATCAAGAAAGGTACAAAATGAAAATAAAACTGATTTCTGTAATCATTATGTCCTGCATACACAAGCTACAGTAGTTATGTTGAAGGGCAAATTCGAATAATGCCCAAAAGCATTTTCATTTTTATAGCTTCTGAACTAATAGGGGCATGCTGTGACTGTGAGGCATATTAAGAAACTAAAATCCTTATTTGGATGAACCTCTGTAATACTAACTCAAGTATGATACAAATTTTCTAAGAAAATAAAGCATTTTAATTTCTAATGCTGTCGAACATCTTTGTAATGTTCAGAGAAGAGACAGAATTTCAGCACTGTTATGGAATATTTTTGCAAAATTATCTACCATACATGCCTGGTTATGCAGATTGCAAAATTTTTAGATGGCATATGCCCTGACAGGCCCCCTCAGAGGATCAGCAAGTATTTTGGTGTGGAGATGAACTGTAATGTAGGTGAATAGTTTTCAGCCTGTTATGATTTGAGTATGTGGTAAATTAGCAGAGGAACATTATATAAGAAGACTTTGCCAACTTAGCGAGGTGCTAATATTGCTGCCATGTTAACTACCAATATCAGATCGTCCTCCTACATATCATGGAAATTGCAGACTATCAGATGTGTACAGTAGGAGGTTGACAGTGAAGTCACGTACAATGCAAAACAGATGTCCAAAAAAATCAATAAACAGCTGCAGACACACTATGGGAAAATTAATGGGTGAGGAAGAAAGGTAGTGAAATGTTTCGTTAAGCTTAAAATAAAATTTTTGAGGAAAAAACCAACCCTCTTCTTTTTCTCAGTATATTGTTTTTAGAACAGATCCATAAAGAAAATGCTCTTCATACAGCACTGTGAATGTGTTAAGAAACAAATAATGTTTAAACTATCGTTTTATGAAGTGTTTAAAAAAGCACATTATTCCCTTTAGAATTCCAAAGTGGATGGCTGTCTTTTCCATGGAGTAATTGTAACAGAAATAGCTTCTGGTTCTTTTCATAGCTTTACTCCTTCCTTTGGAAATGGGTGTCAACCATAAGACAAACAAGGAAAACATTCTCTGCTTTTTCCACTGTACAAAACTACTAGTGCATCTATCCATGGCTTTATGTCGCACAAAAGTTTGAAAAACTTGAATGTAGACATTAGTGTTACCTGCATGAAGGTATATGGCTCTGAAAGCAGATGGTGCTCTCAGGTTCAGTTTGTGGAGCTTGACTCAGCTTGTGTTACCCTGGCACATGGGGCCAAAGGAGGAATATCTCTGAGTCCTGCATGTTCAGCTAAAGCATTTATAACCTCCACCATGGAAAGTTAAGAGCAGACATTTGCCCTGTGGCCTCATATCATATCAACATCAGCATCCAAAAAGCAAAATTAACAAGTGATTGGTTCTTTTTAAATGCTGTTGGAAATGGCTAAAGGGATGATGATGATAAAAAGCACAGCTAGAGCAGCAAGGCATGTTTTGATAATTCATTCTAGCACTACTCTTCAAGCAGGAAAGCACATTAATAACCTGCAAAGGGCAATATATATGTTCCCTAATGCATTTTCTCCAGCAGTGTGGAATTGCATATTGTGATTGGAATCAAAATTGTTCTTTTCTTACAAAGCTTAATATTTATGATATCAGTGTAAAATTGCACAGAAGACTGAGAAAGGGCTGAATAATTTGTTAACTTCTGAGTCTTTTACTCGTCCTAATTTGCTGCTGCTTTTGAAATATAAAGCTAACTACTGTTAGTGTGTGCCTCCACTTATGTGCATTCATTTCACACTCTGAATTTTTTTCTAGCCACATACTTAGGACTTTGCTGAAACAAAATTAGCACTTGAAGGAATTATTTTTCCTTGTTGTGTAGTTAGTTTTGTTAGTTTACCTTTAATGAAAAATGGAAGAAAGAAATAAAGCAGTAGATGATATAGAAGGAAATCATGAACCAAGGGATAAACCTGGATTCTCTTGTTGCCTTGTCCAAGTTACTTCCCTGATCCTTTTGCGTTATTTTTTCTACTAACTTCAATCCACTTAGTCAAGCTAGACCACAGATATATTTGCTTAAGTAAAACTAATTTTTTTTCAAATTACAGTGTGTTAGATTGGTATGTGCAGCTGGTATAATAATTTCCTGGAGGTTTTTTTTGTTCCCATTATGCATGTAATATTAAAGAATAAAAGAGGATACATTGTCTGTAATAGAAATAGCAGTCTTGGGCAAGAAAAACATATAATTAATTGAATATTTTTCTATTGTCTTTAATTCTTTTCATGCATGATTCTGATCATCTGGGTCCCATGTATGATAAAACTTTATTTGAAAAATACTAACTAGTCATGTTTACCTTGCTTACCTTAAGTTGTAAAGCTTCGTTCAGGTCGCTAAAACCAAGCAATTAGTAAGTATCTTTGGAGATTCCTTGTAGTGTCCCTCCTGGTCTCTCTGCCACTCCAGAAGGGCAGAGGGTCTCCAACAGAGTCTGTCTTATCTGAAATTCTTATACAGATCAGTCAGATATGCTATAACATATCAGGTAGCAGTAGGCATCTATGTTTAGAGAAATAAACTGCACCCAAAAGCACTTTATTGAGTCATGATCAAATAAATTATGTGGATGAATTTGTTTGTCATGCATTTATATTTTCAGATTTTGCTATTTACTTATGTGGGTGAAATCTTGAGAGATTAATGCAGTAGCATCTTCATCATATTGCTTCTACAGAAGGCAAAATTTGTATTTTATTACTCTGAAGTGCAGAAGTATTACATAGCAATTAGAACTGTGAGGATAATTGCCTCTTATGGGTACATTATGCCTCAGTTGTTTACTGCTAAGTGAAATGACAGAAGTTGATCTCAAAGTAGGCAAGAATCACAGAATGGTTTAGGTTGGAAGAGACCTTAAAGATCACCTAGTTCCAACCTCCTGCCATGGGCAGGGACACCTTCCACGAGACCAGGCTGCTCAAAGCCCCGTCCAACCTGGCCTTGAACACTGCCAGGGAGGGGGCAGCCACAGCTTCTCTGGGCAACCCGTTCCAGTGCCTCACCACCCTCACAGGAAAGAATTTCTTCCTTGTATCTAATCCAAATCTACCCTCTTTCAGTTTAAAGCCATTACCCCTTGTCCTATCACTACATGCCCTTGTAAAAAGTCTTTTCCCATCTTTCCTGTAGGCCCCCTGTAGGTACTTGAAGGCCACTATAAGGTCTCCCTGGAGCTTTCTCTTCTCCAGGCTGAACAACTTTCTCAGCCTGTCCTCATAGGGGAGATGCTTCATACCCTTCATGATCCTTGTGGCTCTCCTCTGGACTTGCTTGAGCAGATCCATGTTCTTCTAATGTTGGAGGCCCCACAGCTGAAAACAATATTCCAGGTGGGGTCTCACGAGAGCAGAGTAGAAGGGAAGCATCACCTGGTGCTCATCCCTCAACATGGTGCTCATGCTACTTTTGATGCAGCTCTGGATATAGTTGGCTTTCTGGGCTGCAAATGCATATTGCCAGGTCATGTTGAGCTTCTCATCAACCAGCACCCCAAGTTCTTGTCCTCAGGGCTGCTCTCAATCCATTTTCCTCCCAGCCTGTGTTTGTGCTTGGGATTGCCTCAGCCAACATGCAGGACCTTGCACTTGGCCTTATTGAACTCCATGAGGTTTGCACAGGCCCACCTCTCAAGCCTGTCCAGGTCCTTCTGGATGCCATCCCTTCCCTCCAGTGTCGACTGCACCACACAGCTTGGTGTCATCAGCAAACTCACTGAGGGTGCACTCAATCCCACTGTCCATGTCTCCAACGAAGATGTTAAACAGTGTTGGTCCCAGTATCGACCAATGAGGAATGTCACTCATCACTGCTCTCCACTTGGACATCAAGCCATGGATAGCAACAATTTGAGTGCAGCCATCCCGTGTATACACAATGTGGTGCATCCATCAAATCCATGTGTCTCTCCAGTTTAGGATGTCATATGGGATGGTGTCAAAAGCTTTGCACAACTCCAGGTAGATGACATCAGTTGCTCTTCCCTTCTCCA